TAGGAATTAAGGAATTTAATTTGTTCACCACGGGAAAGGCAGGAGAAAGGAACAGAACTTTCGTCCCAATTGACACCTAACCCCTTTGTACCCACCCATCCCAGCCCGGGGAGGACATCCACCACACAGTAATCTCGTGCGTGGGAAATTAACGTCTCCTACCCCTAACCCTGCAGGAGACGGGGCCTACGGTTTTATTCGTCCTTATCGTCCTCTCGAAAAAAAAGGTTATTTAACCCTTTATCTCTCATGAGTGAATTTCTCCTTACAATGTCGAAACAATATCAAATAGACAGGTGATGAGAATAAAAAAAAAATATAAAGTAAGGAATTATTAGTTGATTTAACCCCAAATTCTCAGAACCAACATCATAAGAATTGTATGGCGGACAGTAAGGAGTATTGTCAATGAGATCTTGGGACTAAAAGGGGTTATTAAAAGTAGTTTTGGATCATTAACAGTATCTGAGCAACCGTGCACCTACCCCTCCCCTAGCCCAAAATCAGTCAATAACAAGTCAGCGTTCATTTTGGGTTAGGGAGGGGTAGGTGCTGACATTCATCCACAGTTTTTGTCTGAGACTTCCGCATGGAGAATGAGCTCTTTTTTTCTTTTTTTTTGTTTTTTTTGTTCTGACTGAAAGCAATATTATGGTGAGAGCATGGGGTTTTGAAAAGACATCCAAAAAGGAAGGAAATGGTATTTCTTGAGCAGGAATTCACAGGTCGGACGTCTGAAGAAACAACCCTCGTTTCTTTCTGAAACAAAGAGTAACTTTTGGTTGATTCGTAATATCCAAACCATTGTCATATATGTCTCAGTTGGTCTCCTCGTGAAGTCAAGTCTCTTTGTTTTAAAATAAAACAAGTGACGAAAGAAAAACTGGACCTTGTTTTCTATGTAGGGTAATAATTAGAGTCTAGGACTATTTTATACCTCTCAGTTAGTGCGGCGCCATGATTGGTCGATTTAGCGGGCCGTATTTCACCGTACAGCCCGCCAAACTCAAAAGTTTTAAAGGGGGAAAGTTTCTAAGTAAACCGTGGTGCTGCGTCGATGGGGGAGTATAACAAGGTTATTTTGGTTTTATCAACTGAGTTAATAATGTAAATTAACCACCGTAAAAAGTTTCAGAGCTGTCGTTTGGAGCGTTAGCTCTTGGTCAGAGCGAAACCTCAGCTTTAAAACATCTTTACGGTGGCGAATTTACATTATCAACTCAGTTCATAAAACCAAAATTGAAAAGTTTGTTTGGGTCGCCAAAAGAGATCAAGGAAATTTCTTACTAATCTCGTTTTCTATGTCCCTACTGTAAGATACGGAATCTCGTTCTTGCCACTCGGATTTGTGGCCCTCGTTGTACGCGCTTGGGCTTTTAATCCAAATGGAAACAAACTCGGTTCGTTACTTACAGTACAGACGTCGAACTCAGATAGGAAGAGGTAGCTATATTTCACTTCCTTTAAGCTAGAGTACCACGAATTTAACAACTTTACCCCCAAATCTTTCGTCACTGACGCGCAAACTTCTGTCTCTTCTGAAGGACAGCTACTTTAGAAACTCCATAATTGAGAAATTTCAGATGAGTGCCGAAAGAAAGGCGGAATCTCATTTTGCTCTCCTCAGGGCTCATCAAATGAAAATCTACAACCAATCACGATTTGTTCACTCCTGTTTTCTGACACTTGAGGAAGTCTGCGTGTATTTACTTTGATCTCTGATTGGTTCCTTGAGATTTTGACCTTTCTTGTGATTGGCTGGGGTTAAAAGTTTGCTTTTAGTTTTACGACTATCAATTGAAACGCTATCTCTCGCCCTTTGTTTTAAGTCCTCAATTGTTTCTCGTTATCTAATTTACTTTTCATTTTTAGGAACAACCCTGAGAGGGGACAGCAGCAGCCCGGCACCGAACCAAGTTCTGACCAAACGACGACTGCAAGACTTACTTCACGAGATTGACCCTCGAGAACAGATGGATGATGATGTTGAAGATGTGAGTTTTCTCCTCTTTTTATGTATTTTAAGGTCGCAAGCAAGTGTTGTTTGTTAGTTACTTTCAACAACTCCATAGGTTAGTGATGGTGCCAAACAAAGAATGAACAAAGCTGTAGGGGACTGCTGCTGTGCACAACCTTAGACTAGATAAACAGCACGTTATTTCTGATTGTTCATCGTACATCCGAGTTATCATCCTAGCTTGACGTCGTCATGGTTAAACTTTGGCAAAATTCTTGTTTTCAGCCTTCTTGACCAGATAAGCTTGATCAATATAGGAGTTTTAAAATCCCTGGCCAAAAGGTTAACACAAAGCATTTTCCTTTGTTACAAAAAAATCCAAGAGATTCGTTCTGGTTGCAGTATTTAGTGACTCCATACCTGTCAACCTTTTTGGCGAACTTGTACGGGTACGGCACAAAACCAAATTCTCAGTACTGACATTGTGAGAAATGTATGGCAAAAAGTAAGGTGAATTTCATATTAGATCTTGAGAGTGAAACGGTTAAGTTACCGTGGGAAACATCATTTAAAAATTTTAAGACTCGTTTTGTTTTCTGTGTTGCAGCTGTTGCTGCAGATTGCAGATGACTTCATAGAGAGTGTGGTGACAGCTTCGTGCCAGATTGCTAAGCATCGGAAATCAAACACATTGGAAGTACGAGATGTTCAGCTGCACCTGGGTTTGTAATCCACAGACTTCAATCACGATTAGACTATTCCCATCCGTATTTTTATTAACAGTGCATGAGTAAAGATTAAGAGACTTGCTTCTTCCATGGTTGCTAAGCTGGACTCCCGATCAAAAAGTCTGAGGTCGAGCCCCATCAAGGTTCCTTGAGTTGTGCTCTAAAGGCTGGTTTCCACTTGCG